TGCTAGAGGTTGTAGCTAATAAACACTGCTGGACTGAATTTGCATGGTCTCTTGGAGTTCCTTGGGCTAGGCCTGACAGCAGGCATTTCATCCAAGTTAAGTTTTTGATATGATTCTTAGTCATGTTAAGTGAATTATGGCAATTATGGACCTAGGGATGAATAGATGCTAAATGTTTAGCAGAACTGCTGTCTCTTTTCCATTCATCTCTATAGCTTTCACAATTGCTTGGCAAGATCTCAGTGGACAAAAGTAGCCATTATTTTCTTCAGTTGGTGCTTGTAAAATTTCTACCTAAAGAGCTGTGATGTCAGATGTATGAGAATTCTCATATATTCCTAGAATCAGAGGTCTCCTTACATGAGTCTCTTTGCATGTTTCTGTACAAACATGAGTATGGGGCTTCTCATGACTCCCTTGGGCAGCGTGATCTGGATGGGCAGAAAGTCTCACCAAAAACATCAATTGCAAATGGTTGGAACTCAGGTGCCTCTTCTCTCCAACACAAAGCAGAAAAGAGATCTCATACACTCCTTTAAATTAGGTTAGATGGGAGTGACAACTGATGAGCCTGGGATTTTTGCTGCTGGGTGCAAGAAAGGGAAAATCATTGCAGAATCATTTCTCATTCAGAATGTTCTGTTACCCGTAAAGAAGTGTAGTATGAGAATTTTCTCCTGAGCTGACAGTGAAAAAGAAGACTATAAGAGTGGATCATTTCCCTGACTGTACCCTAAAAGACTCTGAAAATCTAGCAGGCAGAGGAAGACAGCTTCATATTCAGTCCCTAAGAAGCCTACGAAGAGATATGTGCATGCCTATTGATTACAGTTCTGCTTTACCTGTTTCACCAAAACTTTTCACTCGCTATGAATAAGAGTATTTTGGCAATGAAGGAATGTGTGTGTGCCCACCAGACCCCTTTCATGTAGTGGCCAAGGCCATGCTCCCTTCCTGCAGGAATTGCATCAGCTGGAGAACAAAGTTATCACCAAGACTATCTAATTCAGAGTTTCTCAAAAACACCCAGTTTCAATGATGACAAAGTACAATACTGAACAAATGTGCACTCATGCTGCCACTTCAGAGAAACTTGATTGAAGCTACTCTCTCTTCAATAGAAGCCACTGCTGGCTTTGGGATCTGGCATTAGGATCCTGTTTGCAAGCCTAATCACAAAAGCATTCACTTTCTTCTCTCCCATGCCTGGTGCTTAAAAGTTTGTGAACCCTTTTGAATTTTCAATATTTCTGCATAAAAATGACCTAAAACGTGATCTGTTCTCCACACACGTGCTAAAACCAGATAAAGAGAACCCAATTTAACAAAGGAGTCCAAAGCATTACACTTGTTCATTTATTTATTGAGGAATACGATCCAAAGCTACCTATTTGTGTGTGGCAAAAGTACAGTATGTGAACCTCGAATGGGTCTTAAATGACCAGATTCAACTACTTACTGAACAGCCCCGTATTCAGCGCTGCAAATCCACATAGGTGTTACCATCCAGTTTAGGAAAACTAACGTAATCTCATCCGGCCCCCACACTGCTGTATTTAAGACGCCGCTATACCCTCGCTCTTCTAGGGCAAATAACTCCTCGCAGATCTGCCCTCTCGCCGGGCTGCCCCCTCAACGTTGCCTGCACCGAGGTCGGCCCACCCGCACCCGAGTGGTCCGGGGCTCCTCGGTCTGCCGCTGGGGGGGGCCGGAGCTGCGTCGGAAGAGCCGGGCGGGGCAGCCAGGCCGCCTTCGCCGCCGCCTCCTCCCGCCCCCAGCCATGGCCGACGCGGAGGACGGAGACGAGCCCGGCGTTTCTGCTTCTCACTTGGGTTCTTCCGGCGCCAAGGCGGGTGGCGCCGACAAGATGTTCTCGCTGAAGAAGTGGAACGCCGTGGCCATGTGGAGCTGGGATGTCGAGTGCGACACCTGCGCCATCTGCCGGGTGCAGGTCATGGGTAAGCAGGGCGGCGGCGGCAGGCAGGCTCGGTCGGAAACGAAGGCCCCATCCCGTCACCCAACCTCGCCGGGGTGGGCCTCGCCGGGCCAAGTCCTCTTCCTCCTCCGCCCCCGGGTCGTCTTCCGTGGTCTTCCCGCCGTCCGTGTCGTCGGGGGCGGGCGGGGCCCGCGGCTTTAGCCTGCTCCTCTGCTGGGAGTTGACGAAAGAGCGGCCCTTCTCTGCTGCCCGGCGGCCTTAACGAGGGAGGCCTTTGGGCGCCGCCAGGCGCTTTCGACGCGCAGCCTTAGTTCAGAGGGGTCGGTGGGGATCTCCTTTCCAGGCTGCTTTCCTTCCCGGATCATCTCTTTGGTTATGAGCGCTTCTTTTTGTTGTACTGCCTCGTTCTTTCTTTTTCCTCCTCAATTTAGTGCAGCTGGGAGAAAAACCAGGCTACGTTTGGGCGATTGTTATGCCTTCTTATATGATTTTAAGGGATGTACTGTATAAAGTTAGATTTAAATTAGGGGTGGGGAGTCTATTTCCTACCCAGCATAGCAGAAGGTTCCTGAGTTCAGGTGGTAGCTGAGAAACGTTGTAAACCAATGGCACCAACCCCCACCTCTTTTTAAAAATGTATTTTGAGTATTGAGATATCCTTCATACATACAGTACAGTGTTTAGTTGGGTCTTTGAAAAGCCCCTAATAGAGGCATTATCACGAAGCCAGTGCTTCATATTCATGTAATTAATTCATGTAACAAAACGCTTTAAAGGTATGTTATAACAGACATAATTCTTACTAAATCTGCATATGAAATGAATGAGTAAGTGTTAATGTGATTAACATGGTGGCATATAAAAATCATGAGGACAGGCCTCAAATGCATGTTTTAACACAACAGCACCTGAAATTGTGGAATTCATAACTGCAGTGCTCGGTCCATGTAGATCGAACTGAATTGTGACTTGCCAGTGCAGATAGATGTGATGACAGTTTGGGGTGGATTCTCATGGATCAGATTTTTATTAAGAACTCCTTTTCCTTTCAGTATCTTTTTATGGAGGATTCTTTAAGTTGCATGCATTCATTTCCATTTTAGTCTATTCCTCCCTCTTGTTATGTGGGTGTGTAAACTTTATATTTCCACAGGGAGATGGTAGTGGTACGGTTTGAGCATATTAGCTATATTTGCACAACACCCCAAACTAAGCTGTGGGGATCCCATCTGTATGATTAGTTTATGGTTCAGTCTGTCATACTATACAAAAATTGATTAATTAATTAAGTAAATTGTAATTCAATTAAATATAGGTGGGGGGGTTCTGAATTTGTGTGTACTGAGTAATTGAAGCATACAAACAGCTAGGTCTTTGAATGGCCAGAGTGCAACGTGACTGATAGTTATTTGCCTTCACCAGAATATGCTTATCTTTCAACAATGTCAGAAAAATGCAAAATTATATAGCTGATTGAGACTGTTCAGTTTCATTGTAGGAAGAAAGCTGTGTTAGTCTATACGAGACCCTTTTCCAAATCTTATTTAAAAGCATACTCTGTTGTATAATGGAAGTGAGCTGCAGCTCACAAAATGTATGCCTTTTAATAAAATTTAGAAAAGGGGCTACCAGACTCCTCCAGATTTTTTGTTCAATTTCATACTGATTCATAAAATATTTTCAAAAATAACTCCATGAGTGACATTTTATCTTACGTGGAACATCCTAATCAATACTCTGGAGTCAAAAGTCACATTTTCTATCTCTAGGGTGAATTTAGGTAATCCAAAATGTATGATTTCCTTACATAATCAGCCTTGTTGTATAGAGTGTGTGCACCACAGGTGTATGTATTTGCCCCAATATGTTTAATCCATGGTACTTTTGGAAGTGATAATAATCTAAGAATTGGTATAGAATTAATATTTGTTGAGGCACATAGTATATTTCTCTATATAATCCTGTAGGTAAAAATAAGGAAAGGAAGGGGGGAAAAGCCATCTACTTTTGTTTATTTTAATCAGGCTTTTATGCTTTCTTATAACTGCTCATTCATAACTCTTCAGTAACATAGCACATCCTGATAAAAAGTGAGAATTGCTACCTCATTCATGAAGCATAAGAGACATGCAGAATCTTATCAAATATCCATTATTCTCTTCCTACAAATTCTACTAGTTTTTAAAAGCTAACTGCTATTTAGTTGAAAGAAGTAAGATTTTCATGGTGTGGATGAAGCTGAATGAATAGAAGGGCATGTTTTAGGGTGAGTTAAGTTATAAATTACTTCATAATATGGTATGCATAGTCCATAAATGTTTTTTTAGTGAATTGTAGATTCTTTAGAAAACCAGTTATTAAAATTGCATCCAAAACATAATCTTGCTCTTGTTTACATCTAGATGCCTGTCTTAGATGTCAAGCTGAAAACAAACAAGAAGATTGTGTTGGTATGTTGTGAGTACATAATGTTGTTATTCATTAAAAGGCTTTATCTTAGTGGGGTGCTTTTTAAAGCTTCAAGTAAATATGTCTCAGTAAAGCTTCTCTTGAATATGTTGTATAAAATACTTGGAAATATTAGGTTAATCCTTTACGTATGGGTATATGTTATATTAGTATTTAATTAGAAAAATAACAGTTGCCACTTCTTTCCCTGTATCTATTTTTTGTTTTTAAAAAGGTTTGTTGAAACAGTTAAGCATTTTAAATTAAAGAGAATGATTTGGTTTCATAACTTATTTTCTTTGGCTGAGGAAGTTTCATGATTCCTGTTTTTGTATTATTATTGGAGGGGATGGTTATGTTAAAAGATAAGTTCAGCATCATTTATATGGATCACAGGTGGAACATTTTAAAAAATGGAGGAACTAGCAAATTTAGGTTAAAATAGTTTTAAGTTCTCATCAGTGAAGATATTAAGTATATACTTAATTTTTTCCTACTGAAATTGATTCATTTTACTGCTTGATTTGTTAGTTTATGGTAGGACACTTGAAAAATAATTCATTCATGGATTTTTTTAGAGTTTGAAAATGAGCCCAGAGTCTTCCTACAATGCAGTTAGATATCCAATAGGTATGATAAAAGAATTCACATGTATTGATTTAGTATTGCATACATGGCTACCTCAGATGTAAAAAAGAAAATAATATGTGAGGAAGACCAAAAGGTGCATGGTAGTACTGCCTCTTCCCCCACACTTCCTGTGACAATGGGGAAATTATTTACAAAGGGTGCAGTCTTACCCAGAAGTAGAAACCCTAACCGTACAAGACTCATAGTGTCAGGATTGTAAATGTTGTCCACATGTATTTTTTAATGACTGAAGCATCAGGTTTTGATGTTCCTATCTCATCCTTTTCAAATGATACCTTAGCAACTAACAAAACATCATGATTTAAAATAAATTCCAGATTCATTAAACAATGAATGTGGCTTATTTAGCTAGTTAGATTTACTTTAAACAAACTGTTGATACTTTATAAGAAGTCAGGAATCTGAAAAAATTATCAGAATCATGCTTTATTCTTCATTCTAGTTATAGGGGAAGAAGCAGAAAAGGGGAGTGCTCAGGTTCATGAAGGCTTATGAGCACTGCACATGTAGTTCATATTAATTGCTCAAATATATTAACTGTACGATACTGTAGGATCAAGAACATGAAAAGTACTGGCTTGACATCTCTACACTGAAAAATGTACAGTAATTCTTTTTAATTTATGAATGTTTACCATTCTTTAGGGCAGTGTTTATACTTTGAATTACATATTCTCATAAATGATTTCTAAACTGCAGTCTCAAGTTTGCTTTTCTTTTTCTTTTAGTGGTCTGGGGCGAGTGTAATCATTCCTTCCACAATTGCTGCATGTCACTGTGGGTGAAACAGAACAACCGTTGCCCCCTCTGCCAGCAGGACTGGGTAGTCCAAAGAATAGGCAAATAAAATTGCTTCCGGTTATTGCACTGAAGTTGTTTGAAATGTTACACAACTAACGGTATGCTTTCTCTGTGAAAGAAGGAAGAAGTCACAGTGTGGCAAAATCCATCTTATTTATTTATGTCTACACAGGGACTTAGATCTGAAATTTTTGTGTTAGTTTACTGGTTTGTTGGTCTTTAAAAATGTTCCATCAGGAACTTAGCTGCAGTATTTAAGAATGTATCTAAATATTTAATATGAACACAGTTCATTAATTTAGGAATTATTTAGGGCTTATAGGTCTATGATTATTAATACAGGTAATTTCAGCTTGAAATATTGCTACTTTTTCTCAAAATGAAGTTATTAATAAATAATTGATGGTGCATTGTTTTTATTTAGGTATTGTTTATCATTATTTCTTTAGGTATTGATAAATACTTGTTTCCATAGTACTTTAAGATGAAATTGAATTGATTGCCTTTTCAAAGTATGTACCTTCTCCACGCATAATTAAACCTTTTAACATTGTAAAATGTGTAAGTTATTTGTCCCTATAAGATAATGTATTTAAAAGTTTCATATTAAAAAGTGTGGAACTTGGAAGCATAATCTTGAATGGATAGTAATTAGGAAATTATACATTTATCTGTTACATTTTACTTTAATATATAGGGCAGGATTCAGATGTTTGAGCTTTGTTTCTCTGGTAGAGACAGGCAGAAGTTGTAGAAAGACAACATGCTCGGACTGAAGTTATGGGCAGATGATATTCTAAGCTGTCTATTTGAAGATGTTAGTTTTGAAGTGTTTGGGGTTTATGTACTGAACATATTTATATCTTGTTCTTCAGTAAAAGGGCTTTCAGAAAAAGATAGTCATTGCTTTCAGACTTAGAACCTCTAAAGAACAACAGAAGAAAGAAAAGGAAAACAAGAACATTCACAAAGCAATTCTTAATATGTATTATTTGGGTTTTTATGATTTAACTGAAATGCTGCAGACATATTTATGCTGACTTTAATCCTTTCTGGAAAATAGGCATGATACAGAATTGCTTTCATCTTGCTCATTACACCAAAATATGATTAATTTAAAATTAAAAATAAGGTTACATTAAAGTGCAACTTACTGTGTATCTTAAAATAAGGTGTGAGACTTCAGTCCTGTTTCATCTGAAGTAATACTCATCTTTGACCATTTATAACCCCAACATTTTGCCCCTTTTCTACAATAGGCCTTCATAAAAGCTGCTACTGTTTTCTGAACATATTGAGAGACAAATGCTTCCTACTGCTGCATGTGTATTAGACTAAACTGTACCACAGAACAGTTTGATGACTGAAATTTGTACATATTGTAATTTGGGGCTGATGCAAATTAACCTGGCTAGAAAATATTTATTCACTTATAAAAAGATGCACCCAGTCTGCTTGTACTCCCATGTTAAAAAATGCCCATTTGGAAGTATAAAGGTTCTTTAATTGTGGAATCACCTTTTATGAAAAGTAGTTAATCTTGACTGGACCTTCATGAACACATTTTAATAGAGAATTTAGATTATGGGCAAATTAAATGGATCTTCAGTGCTATGTCAGAGCTGTGAACATTAAAGGATTTTAACTGCCATGAGTTGAAAATATTTGGATAGAATTCTTACTGCCTTCCTGATATTCTAGATTGGTTACTCCAAACTCTGGTTTTTAGCCAAAAATAAATCTTATACAAATGTATTTCATAGAATCGTAGATTTGGAAGATTTGCCATTGAGGCCAGCTCCCTGCTCAGTGCAGGAATCCAAATTAAAGCATCCTATGTGGCTTGGACATGCCCAGTAAAGGGGACCTTACTACCTCTGAGGAATTGCTCTTACTGTTACATGTTTCTACCATTCAACTGAAATCTAGTAACTTAAATCCATTATTTCATCCCTTCCCCTCTGGAATGGAACAGAGATGTCAGCCCTTTGAGGCATGCAAGGTCAGGAAAAAGAGCAGCAGAGGTTTCAGGAATGCTTTATTGTTACAGGGTATAATAACAGAATCTTAAAACAGAAGCAATTGTTAAATACATCATTTAACGCTGGTTATACCGAATGATACTAATCAGTCATTCCATTTGGTTGATAGGCAGTTTAAAAGCAGAGAGCAAAAACAATCAAAAATTGTAGTTCCAGGGTGACACAGACTTTCCATTGTAACAAAACCTTTTTTGCTATAACCCATGATCAACAAAGCCATTGTTTTTTGTACTGTATATTGATAAATTGTAACTTTAACATATAGTTGAAAATCACATAGATACCTTTAAAAGTTAACACTTTTTCCAGAAGCATATTAACAACCATAAATATTAAGTCAAAATGTGACTACAATAAGGCAAACCCATATAGTATTTGTAAATGGCTCCTGTATTAGTTTACTCTTCCAGCAAAAGGGAGATGACAACAAATCCTTATTAAACATTTTCTGAAGTGCCTGAAAAAAATAAACACTTTTTTAGCCTAAATTAATCTCATGTTAAGATCATAAGAAACACATTTAATATTTTTAAGATTATTGGTTTGTCATTATTTATATTTCAAATTTGGTCACCGCCCATCTCACTAGGAAGTGACTAGGCAGTTTACATTAAAACAAAAATACTAATTAAAATACAACAACAATACAATAAAAACCATATTCATACATAAATACTAATATCTTCCAAGGTGCTGCTGGTAAAAAGGATATTAACATACAGGAGCATCTTCAAAGTGCTAACCATCCCCAGGGTTGGTTGCCCCTTTTCTCGCCCCATGTAAGTTGGCAGAGCCAGAACTTAACCCCTTTCTGGAAGGTTGAGAGAGTAGGGGCCCGCCTCACCTCTGGGGGGAGGGTATTCCATAGGGCAGGGGCCACGGCAGAGAAGGCTCTCCTAGGCCCTGCCAGTCGACATTCTTGCATTATTTCATTAATTATGGGAAATTCCAAATCTTTGTTCGAAGTTCTTGCAAATAATTTATATTCTTTAAATGATATTTAATAGATTGGTTTTTGTTAAGTCAAAAATTTTGGGCTTGTCTCTATTGGATTTCACATTGTTACTTTCAGCTAATTTCTCTAACCTGTCAAGATCGAGTTTTATTTCTCTTTTTAAGTATTAGCTATCCCACTCAATTTTTTATCATCTGTAAATTATATGTATTTTTTATATTTCCATGTTGTTATGGTATTAGGATCAGACTACCAAGGATATACACATTCAATCCTTAAGTAAAAGAAAAAAGCCCTAGAAATTAAAATTTTATTCAAATTAAATTAAGGAGTGGAATACATTACATAGTGGTGGCTTTCAACTCCGACTAGTCATTAATATATGGTGGTGGCAAACTATAGCAGAAAATTTAACAATTTTATATGTGAGATGTATGTTTCTATCAGCTAATAAATAAGATACTTAAAAGATGTTTTTAACCCTCTTGTAAGCCAGAGCTGCTTGGTAAGTAGGTAGCCTTAGAAATTGAATAAGTAAAGAAACAAGTCATCTGTGCATCCTGGGAATTCAGCTATTATTGGGATGATATATCACTGTAATAGGAGTACTATAAAAAGATGGACAGCATTTCTGTTTGGTCAGATCCCCATCAATAGATGTGGGGGACAGATGGATTTTTCATTAATATTTTCTGAAAACACATCTCTGCTGCTAGCAGTACTTCAAAATATGCCAAAGAAAAATGCTCATGTTAATTTCTGGGTCTCCAAAAACTAAAGATGAGACTGAAGCCAGATTTTTAAAATCAGGTAACTGATTAGCCTCATATCACCTTGTCAGTCCACATTGTGAATCCATTATTTTATTGTCTCTGTAGCTTTGCTAAACTCTAGTGGCACCAGAAAACTAGGAGAGAGGCCATATCTCACCATGGTAAGACGCTGTGGAAGATTGGGAAGAATCAAGCAAAGCAGGAGCAGCTGGGTTTCCTCATCTATGTATTTAATAAGCATTCCTTTGGCCTTTTCATCTATATCGTTAATGACAATATTGAAAGGGAGGTGCAAGTCTGGTCCTTGTGGCACCCCATGATACCGCTTTTCAATATAGGGGCCACTGATAAGCACTGAATACAATTTTTGGCCCAGCTGTGTATCCAGTTAATTGTCATGCCATCCAGCCCATACTTAACTAGACTGCTAATTAGTGTGTTGCAGAATACTTTGTCAAATGTTTTGTTGCAACCAAGATATATTAGTCTGCAAGATTCTCACAACCTAATAGGGAAACTACCCAATCATAAAATGGGTAGTGGCAAGATTATGCTGGCAAGATTTGTTCTTAACAAATCCACATTGACTTCTGATAATTGCTGCACTGTTTGAAAAGTACCTATTGATGGATCTCTTCATCACTCTGAAATCTTCCCAGGTATCAACATCAGGCTGACTGTTGCATAGTTTGTTTTTCCCTCTTTGAAGATAGGGGCCACATGTGCTCTCATAAAGTAAGATAACCCTAAATTTAACATCATGCTATGCCCCAAAAAGGAAATAGAGGGAAAAAACCACAGGCAAAACTTCCATTTTGATTTTGTCAATCTAGGGGTGCTAGCTCCAGCTGAAACTACTCTTGGAGATTTACCATCACACAATAAATGTGCATGACAACCTTGTCCATACATATGTATGAATACTTGTCGGACATATAGTTCAAAGAAAGGTCTTGTTTGGAATACACACACACACACACACACAGTGCCTTTGAGTCTATATTGACTCCTGGTGATTGCCTGGACTAGTCCTTGCGGTTTTCTTGGCAAGATTTTCAGAAGTGCTTTGCCATTGCCTCCTTCCTAGGGCTGAGAGAGTGACTGGCCCAATGCCCCCCAGCTGGCTTTGTGCCTAAGATGGGACTAGCATTCAATGTCTCCTGCAATCTAGCCTGGTCCCTTAACCATTTCACCAACCTGGCTCTCTGGCTGTATAGTTGAATGAATTATTAGCAATTTAACGTAATTGCCTGTAAAGGAAGGTACCTCATTTTAAAAATTAGTTGGTCCTGAATCATATATCATTTTGTTCTCACATGTAAAAGTCATTCTTACAAACAGATGCACAAATGCATACATGTACATTCCTATCCCTTCCCCCCCCCCCAATAAAGAAAAAGGATGGAGGTGACATAAGAGGAAAAGATAGCTAGAAGGAAAGGGAAAGGAAGGGGGTAACAAAGCTGGATGGAGATGAAGGGAGAGAAAGGGAAAGGATAACTAGATAGGAAATGAATGAGGGAGGGCTGCAATGAATGAAATCATGACATCTGTAGAATATTTCAGAACTAAAGAAGAGTTGTCTTTGCTAATCTCTTGTTTAAGTCTTGTATTTAAGAACAAGCAGTGATTTACAAACCTCTTCATTTAAGAACAAGCAGTGATTTACAAACCTCTTCATTTAAGAACAAGCAGTGATTTACAAACCTCTTCATTTAAGAACAAGCAGTGATTTACAAACCTCTTCGGAAAAGATAGCTAGAAGGAAAGGGAAAGGAAGGGGGTAACAAAGCTGGATGGAGATGAAGGGAGAGAAAGGGAAAGGATAACTAGATAGGAAATGAATGAGGGAGGGCTGCAATGA